CTTGGTAGTTTTGATGTCTTCAGAAAACTTTTTTATTTATATTTTGTACTTGTTTTAGACTGGAAAATTGGTGTAATGTCAGATAGTGTGTTATAACCAAAGTTGAAACACCCAATAAATGCTATTAGAGCCATAGCTTCAGGTTGTTTAGGGAGCATATAGGGTATAAAACTAATTCCTGTCTGTTAAAAAGCTTCACTATACTTTCTAAGCCCTGGCTGGATAGCTCAGTTGGTTAGAGCATCGTCCTGATACGCCACGGTTCTGGGTTCAGTCTCTGGTAAAGACACGTGCAAGAATCAACCAATGGCCTGGCCAGTTTGGCTCAGTGGTTGAGCATCGACCCATGCACCAAGAGGTTGCTGGTTCTATTCTCGGTTAGGGCACATGCCTAGGTTGTGGGCCAGATCCCCAGTGGGAGGCATGCAGGAGGTGGCCAATCAATGTTCTCTCTCATCAATGTTTCTCTCTGTCCCCCCTTCTCCCGCTCTCCCTTCCTTTCTCTCTAAAATCAATAAAGGGGGGGAAATTTTAAAGAAGAATCAACCAATGAATACATAAATAAGTGGAACAACAAATCAATGTTTGGCTCTCTCAAAAGAAAAGAACAAAACAAACTTCACTACGCTTTCTAAAAAAATAATGTAACTTAAATTTTTATATAAAGAATCTTATAAAATCTGTACCTGTATCTGTTTTTCAGTTGTATATTTTGGAGATCTTTTCATATTAGGAACACAGATCCATTTTTATTTTTCTTTATTTTTCAAATCCATCTTTATTTTTAAAGGCAATTCAAAAGGATATTTTAGGAAAATATTCACACATTAAAGATGCTTGGAAAATAAATCTTTGTATCTCTACCCCCAAGTTTATCAGTTCTCCAGAAGTAATTAGTATTTTTGTTTTGTTTTGACTTATGGTTCTGCCCTTCATTTTGAGATCTCCTTTTACAGAGATAGAAGTGTTTAAGTCAGAAATATATATGACCCAGCATGATACATTGGTATATTTTGCTAGTTTCTGCCATTCAGACTAAAGCACAACATAGTACTGCACAATCAGTGAACTTTTTCACAACGGTCTTGATCTGGTGGGTTGACAGATTTCACGTGGGAGAAAGACTTCATACTAACTAGTTCAGTTTAAAAGGCTTTCTTGTGTTTGTTTGTTTGTTTTGTTTTATTCTGTTTTTAAACAGATACAGAAAATCACATAAAACAAATGTGTAACTTTGTGAATTACTGTACACCGTGTCCTTACAGCCACACGAAGTCAAGAAATAAAGAACTCCACAGGCCACTCCAGAAATCTTCCTTGTGCCCTGTTTGACATAACTGCTTCCTCTCCCTAAAATTAACCGTGATCTTTTCATAGTAATCCCTTTTTTGTTTATCTTTATGGTTTTATCACCCAAGTGGGTATTCTTCCATAATGTACTTTGGTCTTGCTATTTGTTTTTACAATGTCTTTTGAGTGTCTTTTAATCTGCAGGTTCTTTCTCTCTGTGCAGATTATTTATTTGTTGAGGAATCTGGACTATTTGATGTGTTGAGTTTCATATGGTCTGGATTTTGTTGATTGTAGTTATGATGCAGTTCTACTCTCTTTTGTATTTCATGCAAATTGCCAGCTGGATCCAGAGGCTTGATGAGACACAGATTGATATGAACCTGTTGTCATTGTATCCTTTTCTTTCATCAGGATGCACATACAATCTGATTGTCTTTGTCTATTCTCATAATCTTCTACTGTGAAACATATTACCTCAAAACATACTGACTCAAGACAAAAACCATTTCATTGTGTCTCATAACTTTGTAGGTCATGAATTCAAGCAGGGCTCCATGAAGATAATTCTGCTCCATGAGGCATCCATTTGGTGGATGGGCTGGTCTGGAGGTTCTGAGATGGCTTTGTTTACATGCTTGACATTCTGATAGGAATGGCTGGAAGGTTGGACTTAGCTGGGCTCCTCTTGCTTTCCATGACTTTCCAGAGACTTCCTGGTCTCTTGACATTGTCTCTCCAGCAGAATAGTTTGAGTTCTTACATGGTAAGTGTCAAAGAATTTGTAGACATAGAGTAAAATCACCACAGTAACTAATAAATATTTTGGGGAGATACTTTGATATATCATATTTCTCTTTAAAGTTTAACCCACTAATTTTATCATTTGTACATGAATCTTGCCAGTAGCAATTATTACTTGTACTGTTCTAATGGCGGTTTTCTGTTTTTCTCATTCCTTCTACACTCATTAGCATTCTTCTATAAAAAAGGTGTCTTATATCCTATAAATAACTTCTTTTTTTTTTTTTTAATCCTCACCCGAGGACATTTTTCCATTTTTCACTCAGAGCGGGAAGGAGAGAGAGGAAAAGAGAGAAACATCGATGTGAAAGGGACACATCGAGTGGCCGCCACCCACACGACCCAACCAGGGCCAGGGACAAACTGCAGCCAAGGTACATGCCCTTAGCAGGAACCGAACCCGGGTCTCTGTGGACCGCAGGCTGATGCTCTAACCGCTGAGCCAAACCGGCCAGGGCTCCTATAAATAACTTCTTAATAGTTATTACTTATGCAGTTGTTCACATCAGTGTGGACATGGATATTTGTTTTAATTTTGAGTTAATCTATCATAATTAATTTTGTTACTCCAGATTTTCTAGCTGTGACCATTGAGAGCACTTTCAGGTTTACTCTTATGTCCTTTGGACTTCATGCTAGTTTTAAAATGATTTCCTGCCCTGCTTTTCTTGTAGGGATGTTATTCTGTTCATTATTTTCTCCCCCTAGTTCCCATATATGACATTTGCCTTCATTTGCTTTTTTTTTTTTTTATAATATTTAAAATTCTCCCTCAAAGACATGCTTTTATTGATTTGAGAGAGAGAGAGAGAGAGAGAGAGAGAGAGAGAGAGATTGGTTGCCTCCTGTATGCACTCTGATGCACTCTGACCAGGAATTGAACCAGTGACCTTTCATTGTGTGAGACCACACTCCAACCAACTGAGTTACACTGACCAGGGCAATTTTTTATTTTTAATTAAGATTTTTGTTGTTAATCCTCACCCAAGGATATTTTTCCATTGATTTTTTTGGATGTAGTGGAGGGGAGGGATGAGAGTGGGGCAAGAGGGAGAAAGAGAAAGAGAGAGAAAGAAACATCCATGTGAGAGAGACACATTGATCAGGTGCCTCCCACATAACCCCAACTGGGGCCTGAAATTGAACCTGCAACCCAGCTATGTGCCCTTGACTGGAAATCGAACCCACAACCCTTAAGAACTTTTAGAAGGCAGTATTTACAAATATGATGATTTATTTCTAAGATTTCCTGGCTTTGTTACTTTCTCCTTTTTTCCCTTTGTCTCTGTTGTACTTGTGTATAATTTTGATTCTGTTCTTACTACTTTGGAGCTGTGTCCTAGCTCTTCAGTTTTTAACAGTTTTTAGAAGGCTAGACTTCCATCTCCTTAGCCCTCACATAGGCCTCTTCCACTCACCTTTTCTACTCACCAAAACCTCTTCCATTTTTTCAAACATAGCCCTCAGATTGGCTCCCTGTGCTTTCTAGTGAATACCTGTTGGCTCTTGTTGTTTGTGTGCTCTTAGATCCATTAGCTACCCTGTTGTTTCCTTCAACTTCTGCTTTTACTGAAGTTGAAACTATACAAGTCTTATAGATGTTCGAACCAGTTATAATTTGGGGTTCTTGGAGAAAATTAGATAGCACCTAGTTTTGTTGTAAATGTCCACAGTGCTTTGCTTTTCTTGCATAATTGCTCTGTTTTTATGAGGGCATTTATGGAGACTCAATAGCTTCATATAATCTTTTAGGTATTAATTTTTAAAATATAGTTTTAAGCAAAATATATTTTGATGGCAAGTTAAAGTAACAGATGTGGTTGGGTTACTGGCTGCATAATGAATCACTAAAAACTATGTGACTGGAAGCTTTTTTGCAACATACTGAGCTACAAATTTCAAAAAAAGTAATAAAACATATTTTATCTAGAAAGAAGTTAATGTTTTATGCTTATTCCATCAACTTATTGATTTAATGCTAAGCTTTATTTCAACAAGCCTGTGGTGAATTTCATGGCCTCTATTTTTAGTTTATTTGGAAACTTGTACAGGCCATTTCTTCCACCTTTTTCTCTTCCTTGACTTCCTGTTTATCTTTGGGAAGATCTTGAAGAATCACTGTGTATTATTCGTGAAGTGCTCTATCTTCATAAAAAATTGACTAGGTAAATTGTATAATTTCTTCACATTTGCCTCTATTTCTGAATTGAGATGGAAAATATTTTTCAGTCCCATTATTGCCAGTCCATTTTAGCCTTCTTCCATAAAGAGGCAGTTTGGTGTAGCGTTGCTTTAGAATCTATCAGTTATTAGTTGCCTATTGTGTACTGGGTGATTTTATTCTCAATTATCTTTCAAAATAGGACTCCCTTTTATAACTATTATTAGCTGTTACAGACCAAATTCTATGCTTTGTTCTATTTATTATTTCTATAGATACATTTACTTTCTTCAATGAAAATGATTTAATAGTATGTATAGCAGTTTGCCAAATACACACACACACACACAAAATAATTGAAAGTGGAAAAGAGAAGAAACAGCCAACCTATAGATTATGGTCAGAAAGTTATACAGTGACGTTTTAGTAGAAACTTTTGGGACTTTTTTTTTCATACTCTCCTCCCTAAACAATTAATGATTCTAACAACAGATTTGGATTTATTGATTCAGTTGATTAACTCTCATGCCTTCCTACAATAAGTCAAAAGATTTTAGGTAATATTTTTGTTGAATGGGCCTATAAATACAGAATTTGAACTATTGACTGCATTGGTGGATAATTTAGCTTGTCAGATTTTTCTTTTGTTATACTGTGGTCTGAATGTTTATATGTATTGAGGTTGTATGATATTAAATTATTTAGAAAAATAGTCCTTAAGACATTTTGTTTGATCTTCTTTCAGGTTCATGCATGGGAGATTTCAGACCAATTGTTACAGATTCGACAAGATGTAGAATCATGCTATTTTGCTGCGCAGACCATGAAAATGAAGATTCAGACCTCATTTTATGAGCTCCCCACAGACTCTCATGCCTCTTTACGGGACTCATTACTAACCCATATCCAGAACTTGAAAGACTTGTCACCTGTCATTGTAACACAGGTAAATCCTACACTTCTCATTAGGGAAATTTGTTAAGACCATTTGGATATCAAATAATTTTGATTGACATTGCTAGGCCACATGAAGTAATGTTAACAACTTTATTGTACACTAATTACTATTTTCTTATAAATGGATAGAAAGTGAACATTTAAATCTTTTGTATTAATCTCAGAGTTCATTTTATTTTAACTTAAATATTAGAACTGGGGGAGGTGAGTATAGATTTTCACAGGCAGCCACATGTGCCCCCTACCTTGTTAAAATTACAGATGATAAAAACCCTATATTATTCTGGGCCAGAGTTCTACATAATTGCCTTTAAAAAGAAATCTTTTTTGGACCGATTGGTTGATAAAAGTGTTATGAACGAAATGGTGAAGTAGAGAATTTGGCCTTTCCCCCTTAGACAGGAAAATGACGTTAGGAAGAAAAACTGGAAGCTTCAGTGAATACATACTCACATGTGTTCTCTGCCTGGCATAGAAGTGCCCTTGAAGAGGAAGGAGGCTTTTGCATAAGGCTTCAAGATGAGAAATGGAAAGAGAAGGGAAATGGCAATCCATTACTTGAGGAGTGAGTCAATGGGCTGACTTTGTCAGTAGCTTTGGCCTTTTGACAAAGTATAATTTATCTGTCCGTGAAGTTCTATGGTATTGCCCAAAAAAAAAGTAAGTATTGATATATTCCTAGGAAAATCTATACTCTGTTTTTCTTCTTTTTTTCTTTTTGTTTTGTTCTTCATTTTTAAAGGTTACCTTTTAAATCCCAGTAATTTGTAGCTAGCCTAGAAGAATTTATATGTTATAGATAGTTGTGGGGTTGGGGGGGTGTCAGTCTTGTCCTTATTTGGAAGAAATTTAGTTTCTTTTCAATTAATATTGATGGTAACATCTGTACTATTTATTTAATTTTTCTTTTTATTCAGCTGGCTTTAGCAATAGCAGACCTTGCCCTACAGATGCCTTCCTGGAAGGGATGTGTACAAACATTGGTGGAAAAGTAAGTAACTTATATTGACTGTATGCTAGCATTTGGGATTACTATAAACCTACACAGATAAATTTGTTAGCAATAGCTAGACATTTGCACTATTTCCCTAAACTCTTAACATATGCTACAGAAATGTCATGTGGAACATAAAGACCCTCATAATGTACATGCACACACATCACTTGAATTAACTTCAGCAAAGTCTTTTATTGCCTCGTGGATCGCTCCCACTGATATATCAGTAATTCTATAAAAATATTTCAGAATGTTTAATATTAAACTGAAATTGTTATGAGTGTACATTCTTACTAATTGGGGTATGTTTCATGTCTATCAAAGGGACAATTATTGCCCGGCCAGTGTGGCTCAGTGGACTGAGTGTGGTTCCGTGGACTGAAGGTCCCTGTTCAATTCCTGGTCAGGGCACGTGCCCAGGTTTTGAGGCTTGATCCCCAGTGGGGGGGGGAGGGAGAGGCAGCCGATCGATGTTTCTCTCCCACATTGATGTTTTTCTCCCTTTCTCTCTAGAAAAGGTGGCGGAGGGCAATATTATTTTTAGACACATGGAAACTGCTACTTTGAATAAAGCATTTCCTCATGGTCTTGGCAAGATAATCTTAATGTTTGTTTGCATTTTGGCATTTGGTTAGGAAATATTTTTGAACAAGGTGGATGTCCTTTTTACCTTCAATCATAGTGTGCCATTAAAGACTTTATATGGATAGTTTATTTTTGTTTTATTTCAAAATAAAAAGTAAACACTTTCCTTTCTCCTTATTCCTGTATTTCATGGTAACCATTATTAATGATTGGCTATATCGCTCTCTAGACTGTCCTTTAAGCATTTTATAGTAAATAAGTGTATAATATTTTAGTGTACATATACCTATGTATATATTTGTTCACTCATATGTAAAAGATGTTTCATTTACTTTTTTCACTTAATACATAGTGGACATAACAATTTTCCTAGGTATCTCATTGTAATGGCTATGTATGTTCCATTGTATAATTTAGAACCTTTTTTATCATGCTTAATTATGAAGGACCTTTATATTTTCCCAGTATTTTTGCTGTTATAAAAAAGTACTGTAGTGCACATCTTTGTATGTACCTGTGAGATTTTTCAGAGAAATAAATTTCTAGAAGTGGAATTGTTGGGGCAAAGATTATGCAAGTTGAAATTTTGATTTTCAGATACCCATAAAAAAATTTTATCTATTTTTTCCTCTTTAATAGTAGTGATAATGCTGCTTTTTATCATAGGTTATTCTGATGGCTGTTGTTACCTTATGTAATTGTGTTTTTTCTAAGTAATTTATGTCTTTCCTTTTACTTTCTAGATATAGCAATGATGTAACTTCTCTGCCTTTTCTGCTGGAGATCCTTACAGTGTTACCTGAAGAAGTACATAGTCGTTCCTTACGAATCGGAGCTAACCGGCGCACAGAAATTATAGAAGATTTGGCCTTCTATTCTAGTACAGTGGTATCTCTGTTGGTGAGTAGATTTGCAATACTAAGTTGCTGCCTACGGGCAAAAACCATGGTGGTTATTTTGTAATTCAGTTTCATTACAATAAAACCTCGATATAATGGACTAATTTGGGTGAGAGTGTGTCCATTAAAGCTGAAAGTCCATTCTTGAATAAAGTATGAATGCACATGTTAAAAAATTGACAAATTAGTTTACCCGTTTTTACTTATGTAGTTTATTTACTTGTGTGATTAAAATTAAGTATGTATGAAAAGTTCAATTTCACAGAAAAGTTTTCTATATGTATTATTGAAATTTTGAATGGATCTATTAAATGTGTGCATTCTCCCGGCCGGTGTGGCTCAGTGGTTGAGCGTTGACCCATACACTAAGAGGTCGCCGGCTCAATTCCTGGTCAGAGCACATGCCCAGGTTGTGGGCCCAATTTCCAGTGGGGGTCATGTAGGATGTTTCTCTCTCTCTCCCCCTCTCCCTTCCACTCTCTCTAAAATCAATAAAGGGAAAAAAATAATGTGGGCATTCACCTGTCACCTTGTGTAAATAAATGCACACGGCTGGGACATGGCTTAGCACTTGTGGGAAAATCCGCTGGCAGGCAGGCAGGCAGGCAGAAAGTCATGACACAAAATAACAGAACCAATTACTGCGAGCCATCCCTTGTGATCATCTGCTACTCATTCGCCGAACATTGTTTACCAGTGGTGATGCTCAGATTTAAACATGTAGGCTATAGTTGTAGATATGTAATATTTATGTGGCGAAATTATTCCAGTTTTTTTTTTCCCAACATGTGGTCTATTTGCTAATATTTATTAAAAATAACAGTGAATTAATAACCAAAAAACCTGTTAATTTAATTATAAGCAAATCTTGGTTAAAAGCATTTTAAAATTAGCAAGGTTTTAATTTTCTTCTTAACAAGAATTTTCACATATGAAAAACAGACCAGAAATTTTGTGCGTTAAATTGAGGTCTGCACAGGGATGTCCACTTTCGCCACTCTTATTTAACATTGTACTGGAAGTCTTAGTCACAGCAATCAGACATGAAGAAAAAATAAAAGGGATCCAAATTGGAAAGGAGGAAGTGAAACTGTCATTATTTGCAGATGACATGATATTGTACATAGAAAACCCTAAAGACTCCATCAAAAATCTATTAGACTTAATAAATGAATTTGGCAAAGTGGCAGGATACAAAATTAATGTCAAGAAATCGACGGCATTCTTGTACATCAATGATGAACTCACAGAAAGAGAAACTGAAAAAACAATCCCATTTACCATCGCTCCAAAAAAATTACGATACCTAGGAATAAACTTAACCAAAGAAGTAAAGGACCTATTTGCAGAAAACTACAGGTCATTGAAAAAAGAAATAGAGGAAGATATAAAAAAGTGGAAGCACATACCCTGTTCATGGATTGGAAGAATTAACATAATTAAAATGTCCATACTACCCAAAGCAATCTATAGATTTAATGCAATCCCCATCAAAATACCAACGACATATTTCATAGAACTAGAACAAATACTTCAAAAGTTCATATGGAACCAAAAAAGACCCCGAATAGCCACAGCAATCCTGAAAAAGAAGAACAAAGTAGGTGGGATCACAATACCAGATATCAGGTTATACTACAAAGCGACCGTAACCAAAACAGCCTGGTACTGGCACAAGAACAGGCATATAGACCAGTGGAACAGAACTGAAAACCCAGAAATGGACCCAAGGCAATACGCTCAATTAATATTTGACAAAGGTGGCAAAAGCATACAGTGGAGTAAAGACAGCCTCTTTAATAAATGGTGTTGGGAAAATTGGACAGCTACATGCAAAAAAATGAAACTAGACCATCAACTTACACCATACACAAAAATAAACTCAAAATGGATAAAAGACTTAAATGTGACCCGTGAATCCATAAAAATTCTAGAAGAAAACGTAGGCAACAAAATTTCGGACATCATACGGAGCAGAATTTTCACTGATACATCACCTAAGGCAACAGAAATAAAGGAGAAAATGAACACATAGGACTACATCAAACTAAAAAGCTTCTGCACAGCAAAAGAAACAATCATCAAAATGGAAAGGCAACCCACTGTATGGGAAAACATCATTGCCAATGATGTATCAGATAAGGGGTTAATTTCCAATATATATAGAGTGCTCATACAACTCCACAAAAGGAACACAAAGAACCCAATTAAAAAATGGGCAGAGGAGCTGAATAGACACCTCTCCAAACAGGACATACAAATGGCCAAGAGACATATGAAGAAATGCTCAACATCACTAATCATCAGAGAGATGCAAATTAAAACAACAATGAGGTATCACCTCACACCTGTCAGAATGGCCGCCATCAACAAATCATCAAACAACAAGTGTTGGCGAGGGTGTGGAGATAAGGGGACTCTAATACACTGCTGGTAGGAATGCAGACTGGTGCAGCCGCTATGGAAAACAATATGGTGCTACCTCAAAAAATTAAAAATTGAACTTCCATTTGACCCAGTGATCCCACTGCTGGGAATATACCCTAAGAAGCCTGAAACACCAATCAGGAAGGATATATGTACCCCCATGTTCATAGCAGCACTATTTACAATAGCTAAAATCTGGAAACAGCCCAAGTGTCCACCAGTAGACGAATGGATCAAAAAGCTGTGGTACATATACACAATGGAGTACTATGCAGCGGTAAGAAAGAAAGATCTCTTATCCTTTGAGACGACATGGAGGGACTTGGAAAGTATTATCCTAAGTGAAAGAAGCCAAGCAGAAAAAGACAAATACCACATGATCTCACTTATATACGGAATATAATGAACATAACAGTCTGAGGAATACAGTAGACCCAGACACATGGAAGTAGGGCACAGACTGACATCCCTCAGAAGAGGGGATGGGGGGTGGGGGGGTGGGAAGAGATAAACCACAGAACTGATATGCATGTATGCATGACCAATGGACATGGACAACTAAGCCGGGGACAGGGTGGAGGGGGGGGTGGGGTGGGGGGTGCCAACGGGGTAAAAAGGTAAAATGTCTGTAACAAAAAAAGTAAATAAAAATTCATTAAAAAAAAAATAAAAAAAAAAAATAAAAAATAAATAAAATAAAATAAAAAGCTTTAAAAAAAAAATTGAGGTCTGCAAAATCAAAGGTTTACTGTATTGTGAAATAGCTCTCTTTGTAAAAGTTTGCAGTGGTAATACTGTGACATTTATGTAACACTTTACAATTAAAAAATACTTTCAGAAACTATACTTTTTGAGCTTCTAAGTATTACTGTGAGGGTGCTATCATCTCCATTTTATGAATGAGAAATAAGCTTTAGAATTACACAACTGTTAATTCAGAATTTGAACTTGGGCCTTATGATTACATATCCCTTGCTCTTCTATTGCTTCATGCTACAAACTGTCAGCTCTTGGTGAAGGGCCATACCGAGGGAAGTGTGTATAAATTTACTTTACTAAAGGAAAGTATCCTCTCTTAAGGATGAACTGAGATTTTGATAGGGAGGTGTTACAGGACTTTACTTGACCTTTGAGCAATATCACAATAATAGATTAGCTAATATTACACTATTTTTAAAAGAGTTATGTGATTATGTCCTTTTCAGTTAGGTGGACATTTTAATGCTATAGACCAGGGGTGGGTAAATTTATGGCCCATGGGCTGGTCACCTATTTTTGTAAATAATGATTTATTGGAACACAGTCATGATCATTCAGTTTTATATTGTCAGTGTCCGTATTTGGGGCTAAAAAGGCAGAATTGAGTAGTTTTCACAGAGACCACATATGATCTGCAAAGCCTAAAATGTTTACTATCTAGCCCTTTATTCAAAATACTTGCTGGTTCATCTTTATAGTTCAGCTCACTTTTCTCAATAATACAGTTATAGTAGGTTTTTTTTTTCATGGCTCTGTATTAATACTTCAGCATCATAGAACTTTTTATTTGAGAAAACAATTTTGTTTAAAATTGTGTTCAGTTTTGTATTTGAAATTCATTGGAAAATTAAGTTAAATATATTTTTCAACTAACCATTTATTTTAAAGAAGTAGTATTATAGAAAATGGGAAAATATAGACAAGCAAATCAAGTTCAGGCCATCTGGAAGTCACACTATTAGCCTTTTAGTACATATCCTCTATGAACATATGTACAGATTTTCAAAATCCAAATGAGATACTTTACCTGCCCTTCTGCAGCCTTCTCTTTCAGTTATCCAGCTTTATCTTTCCATTTCAGTAAATTTTTGTATCATCTAATAAATACCAGGCCATATTCATATTTCCCAATGTTGACTGTAATCGAAAAGTTGACTAGGGCCCTGACCGGTCTTGCTCAGTGGTTAGAGCGTCGGCCTGTGGACCAGAGAGTTCTGGGATCAGTTCCCGCTAAGGCCACGTACCTTGATTGCAGTTTGTCCCTGGCCCAGTTGGGGTCGTGTGGGTGGCAGCCACTCCATGTGTCTCTCTCACATCGATGTTTCTCTCTTTCTCTCTTCCTTTTCTCCCTCCTGTTCTATGTAAATATAAATGCAGAAATGTCCTCAGGTGAGGATTTAAAAAAAAAGTCAACTAGGTATTCTGTCTGCAAAAAGATTTATTCTGGGCTTCGCTGGTGTGGCTTGTTGGTTGTGTGTCTTCTTGTGCATGGAGAGGTTGCTGGTTTGATTCCTGGTCAGGGCACATACCCTGGTTGCATGTGGATCCCCAGTAGGGGACGTGCAGGAGGGAGCCTAGCACTGTTGTGCTCTCACATCAATGTTTCTCTCTCTTCCTTTCTCTCTCTCTCAAAACTCAATAAAACTATTCTTAAAAAAAAGATTTATTTGGGAAAAAGGAAAGATTTCAGTCTGGTACATGCACACATAGAGAGAGCCACCTACAAAATGAAATAAGAACTAGGAAGTTCTTTTCAGAGGGGAAGAGGAAGTTAAGGGGAAGGGCTCTTATGACCATAGAACTCTGTTGTTAACC